TGTCTTTAAGGAGAAGTTCCACGTTGGAGCGCCATGTCTCATAATCCACCTCATTGTTGGGACGTGGGACACGCCCAGAGAAGGGTCTGAGTCTCAAGGAAGTTTGCACCTGCAGAGCAGAGTCTTCATTTCTCACTATGTGCTCAACGATTATTTTTTGTATGTCAGGTGGATTGACGTCAGAAAGTTTCAGAGCAGGTTGTGTCTTTTCTTTAGATGGTGTTGGTGGTGGAGACCAATGATGTTGAACATGCTGCTGCAGGGCCATACTGGGCAGGGGGCTTACCTGTGCAGCATTTTCAGGGGCATGTTGCTCTGGGGTATCAGGTGAGTTCTGCTCTGCATCTTCATCTTGGGTCTCTGAGTGATCTAGATCGACAGTCGCACCGATGAGGAAGAGCTCTTCTCTGAGGACAGCTGCGAAGTCTTTGCCAGTCTGTTTTGCAATGTCCTTTAACTCTGAAAGGTAAGTCTGTGTAGCTGTCACTTTTTGACACTTTAACTTCTGTTTTAGGAGGTTTTTGGGGTTTTTTTGAGCTGTGGTCAGATGATGAACAGCTTATTTGAGTTAAATTGTTGTTTTTAATAAACTGCCTGCTCACAGCTTCTGGTCTCTTGTTCCCGTTTCTTCTTCTTGCATTTTGAAGCTCTACTTAGAACCTTCCTAAGATCCAACAGTGCAAAATGCAAATTCATGCAATTTTTTAAATGGTCTGAAGATGTTGATCAGGAGTGTATCAGGGTTGGGATTTGTTTGGGGAATTTGGACGTATGACTTGAGCGTTTCTTGGCGTGTCATGACTTTCCAGTATTTTTCTGTCTTGCTCAGTTTGTGAAGTTTGCAAACATCGAGGAGGACACGCCGTCGTATCATCGCAGCTACGACTTCTTTGTGTCTCGCTTCAGTGAGATGTGCCACTCTGAACATGACGACCCCGACACCCAGAACAAGTCTGTTGTCTTTACTTTGATACTCACTGACATATGTTTGTACATTTACTTTTTCTATGCTTTAACATAAAGTTGTGGACATTTTGTTTTTTTTAAAGAAAATGAATTCTTTAGATGAACTGTTCACATTACTTCCAGGATCCGTGTGTCAGGGATCCGTGGCCTGCAGGGCGTTGTCAGGAAGACGGTGGATAATGAGCTGCAGGTCAATATTTGGGAACCTCGTCACATGGAGCAGATTGTCCCTGCCCTGCTGGTCAATCTGCAGCAGCACACGTCAAACAACAGGTGTGCGTTCTACGCTGTCCTGTATGGTGATATGTTGGTTTAACAACGTGCAAATTGGCTTAAATTTAACAGCAGTTTTTCTATGTTTTACTTTAATTTTGACTGTTATTTACATTCCCAGCACAAACACAATGTAAGGGGCTGAAATGAGTTCATGCTATGAAGTAGAACTCGGAAGTTTACTGATATTTATACTTATAAGTAGCATTTCAGATGCTCACATTTACTAATTTGCTGATGATACACCATTTTACCTCTCAGAAAGCTCATTTCTGGATTGTTTTGTAACTGTAAAATAACTACAAGCTAGATATGAGTGAACGTTACGTATTTACACCATCAAGCATATTTACATTAATGTTCATAAGCAGGATAGCAGATATCCATGTTTGGTAGGTTGAAGATGATGCCGTGATTTACCTCTCATATAGCTAACTTTGTGATTGCTTTATGAATGCAGCAGAAGTATTCAATGATTCAAGGAACTTTACTGTCATGCCAGTTCACATTCACATGTTTGTGGTACGACACTGGTGCTCAGGTCCCGATTTGTAAAAAGCCTAATAAATAATAAATATAAAAAATTAGTTTGATTGATGTAATGAAGCGTAAAAGTAAAATTTGCAGACAATATTTTTGACCATTAATGTAGAAAACAGTGCAGAAGATGCAGATGTTCGCCAATTTGCTGATGATACAGTGTTTTACCTCTGACAAGTTTATTTTTGGAATTGTTTATATTGTTCACAATTTACAATTCTACAGTTTGATCAGCAGATGCTTTAATCCAAAGTGACGTACGTCTGAGAGCAGATACAACACCAGCAAGGATCTAGTCAGGAGAAAACAATCTAGATGGGTGCCATAGAACAGGTTCAGGTGTGATAGGGCGTTGATGCCAACAGCAGGCTGTGTGGGCAGGCTACCGACCTGGGCCCTGTTGTGGTGATGGGACCAGGAGGTTCTGGTTGGTCCAGTTAGTGAGCAGAGGGAGTGTAGACCTGAAGGAGAGAGTTCAGGTCGGAGGGAACTGTTCTTGTGGTTTTGTAAGCAAGTGTCAGAGTTTTGACTTTGATGCAGCTGGAAGCCAGTGATCGATCTGAACAGTCCATGAGCTGTTTCTAGATGGTTGAACACCAGACGGGCTGCTGGTTCTGGATCATCTGCAGAGGTCTGAGCGTGGATGCAGGAGGCCTGCCAGTAAGGAGCTGCAGTAGTCGATGATATGATGAGAGCTTGGACCAGGAGTTGTGCTGCATGTTCAGACAGGAAAGGTCTGATCTTCCTGATGCTGTATAGGATGAATCAACTCAGTCTTACAGAGGCTGAGCTGAAGGTGGCGTTTCTTCATCCATGCTGAGATGTCTGCAAGGCATGATGAGATCCAGCAGAGACCGTGTGGTCGTCCAGGGGAACGACAGGAAAAGCTGGGTATCATCAGCATAGCAACAGTATGAGAAACCACGGCCTGGATTATTGAGTGAGGTTGTGTAAATCGAGAAGAGAAGGGGACCAAGCACTGACCCTTGAGGAACCCCTGTGGATAGGCTGTGAGGTTCAGACACTTCTCCCCTCCAGGATACTCTGAAGTATCTCCTGAGAGGTAGGACATGAACCAGTGGAGGGCAGATCCTGAGATGCCCAGCTCAGTGAGTGTGGAGAGGAGGATGTGGTGATAACATGTTGTATAGTCGACTAGGAACGATGCTGACATTTATACTTATAAGCAGTTTAGCAGAAGCCATGTTCACCTGTTTGTAGATGATACACTGGTTTACCTATTCGTGTTTGCAGTGGGTCTCCAGCGGAGCAGACGGAGGTTTGTTTCAGGGAGCTGCTGGGCCGAGCTGCTTACGGACACATTAACAACGCCATCAGACCGGTGCTCATGTAAGATGCCCTCTGTTTGTAGAAGTAGCGAAGTTATGCAAAAATCAGATTGAACACAGTAATTTAGCAGTAGCAGTACCTGCAGCAACAGGAGTAGTACTCGAGCACCAATCCGTGTATTGCTGTGATTCCAGGCACCTCGACAGTCACAGTCTTTGGGAAGGACGAGGATTTGCTGTTCAGTGTTTTCAGATCATCATGTACTCGATTCAGGTGAGTTAATACACTGACTGTTAGCACTAAGCTAACAAGCTAACTCAACTGAATTTTGAAATACATCTAATGTAAACACTCAATTACATTTATACAAGTTTGACTTAACTTCCTTGAAGCACCAAAATACACCTGACCTCAACATTTGAGTACATTTAAAGCAGCTAACTATCCTCCTGTGTTTGGTTTTTACTTTACTGTACTCATCTTTTACTTAAACAGTAATTTATCAGAACCGTTGTGACTAATCCTTGACCCAGACTGTGATAACACAAAACATCACCTTAACATTTCTTATATTTAGCGTATTTTTGCAGTAAAAAATGACAGCGCCATCATGTAAACAAACTTGTCGGCTCCAGTTAACATCTGTTAGCTCCAGATATATCCTGTTAGCGGCTTCTGGCACATGTTAGCTTCAAAAAGATCCAGTTAGCTCCAGATGCTCCTGATGATTCGCGTTGGCTCCTCTTAGCTTCTGTCCGCTCCAGTCAGACCTTGGTAGCTCCACTTAGGATCTGCTGGCTCCTTTTAGCTCCTGTTAATTTTTACGTTGGCTCCTGCTAGCTTCTATTAGCGCACATTAGCCCATGTTAGCTCACATTAGCTCCTGTTAGCTTCTGTCCACTCCAGTTGCCCCAGTTAGGATGTGTTGGCTCCTTTTAGCTCCTGCTAGCTTCTATTAGCTCACATTAGCTCCTGTTAGCTTCTGTCGACTCCAGTCGCCCCAGTTCGGATATGTCAGTTCCTTTTAGCTCTTGTTAGCTTCTGTCCACTCCAATTGGCCTAGTTAGGACCTGTCGGCTCCTTTTAGCTCCTGTTAATTTTTACGTTAGCTCCTGCTAGCTTCTATTAGCGCACATTAGCCCATGTTAGCTTTTATTAGCTCACATTAGCTCCTCTTAGCTTCTATCCACTCCAGTCGCCCCAGTTAGGATCTGCTGGCTCCTTTTAGGTCCTGCTAGCTTCTATTAACGCACGTTAGCTCCTGTTAGCTTCTATGAGCTCTTGCTAGCTTCCAATAGCTCACATTAGCTCCTATTAGCTTC